CAAAAATTTTTTTTTTTTTTTTTTTTTTTTAAATACAACCTACCATTTTTCTTGTTGATGGCATACATGTCAATTGGTACTTTATTTTCTCTTTTTTTTTCCTTTACATAAAGTATCTTTAATAGAATGTTATAATTAATGTGTCAATTGATACATAAAACATTCTCTAATACAATACTATGTTGTGTTAAATTTTTCATATGTTATACAATTATCACCAAGTATAACATATGAGAAATTTAACATTTGATTGTTATTAGTTGAAATATTTACCTTTTCATTTAATCATTGTAACTTTGGCATTTTTTAATTATTTTAAAGAGAGATTATCTGGTATGTCTGGCGTACCGGTAGGCCAAATTTTTTAATCATTAGATCTGCATACTTTTTGACTTTTATGTTATTTTATGCAGATCCGATCGACAAAAATTTGGTCTACCGATATGTTGGCGTACCAGAGAATGTCCCTATTTTAAAATTAAAAGTTTACTTTTACAATTTTCAAACCTTTTAATGATTACTGAAAAAATTAGATTTAACATTTCAAATATCATTATGCATTAGAGCATCTTCAATGCAATGCTATAATTAATATGCCAATTACAAATTTAACATTTGAATGCAAAAAAACTCTCCGATGCAATGCTATTTGTTGTGCCAAATTTCTCATATGCTATATACTTTGTGGCAAATTTTTCACCAAGTATAACATATGAGAAATTTGACATTTGATTGTTATTGGTTAAAATTTTTACTTTTTCATGTAATCATTGCAACTTTTACATTTTTTAATTATTTTAAACATAAAAGCTTAATTTTACAACTTTCAAAACTTAATAATTATAGAAAAAAGTAAATTTAGCATTTCAAATAGCATTATGCATTGGAAAAAAATGAAAATAATATACCATATCACACTTTTTGATGGTAAATATACAATTGACATAAGCATTTGTATTAGAGATTATCTTAGAGCAACAATAAATATAATATATCATATTATACTTTTTCAAATAGCATTATGCATTAGAGTATTTTCAATGCAATGATATAATTAATGTGCTAATTACAAATTTAACATTTGAATGCAAAAAAAAAAAACTCTCCGATGCAATGCTATTTGTTGTGCCAAATTTCTCATATGCTATATACTTTGTGGCAAATTTTTCACCAAGTATAATATATGAGAAATTTGACATTTGATTGTTATTTGTTAAAATTTTTTCTTTTTCATATAATCAATGCAACTTTTATATTTTTTAATTATTTTAAAAATAAATGTTTATTTTTACAAAAACATAATATACTTTTAAGATGTTTTCAAATAGCAGAAGGCACCAAAACGATATTGTAGCTTTCTTTAATAATCAACACATGGAAGGACGAAATTTGTACACGATGATAGATTGGAGTTAATTTTGAAACTTTTTGAATGTCTGGAATCAAAATGGAATTCAATGTAAAGTTTAAGGACCATATTTTAGTTTAATCCTAATTTGATCTAAGGATTAATCTCATGCAAACGTAGAGGCATTTTAAGTTTTCTCCTTGAACTTTAAAATTTTTACTTTATCCTTTAATTTTAAAAAATAATGCAATCACATACTTTATGAAGAAAAAAAAATGCATTCAGATTGCCAACTCAAAATGGTTATGATCATAAGCCCCTGAACTTACAAAATGGTGAATGAAAAATAATTACACAAACTAACTTGTATATGAAATAATTAAACAAACTAGCTTGTTCGTGAGAAGTGTTTCAAAATCCGTGCTCTGCATATAGGAAATTACAAATTGCTTAATTCAAGTTTCAATTCAGCATATTTTTGTGCCTTGAACTTGAACACTGAATCCTTGTCCTAATTCATATCTACCCTTTTTCTAATCACAAGAGCACACGAAAATCATGTACCATACCCAACAGTTAATAAGGCTAAAAATATACACAGCAAGTTTCATCCTTGTAAAATCCAAACTATTTCCCCATTGATCACTTATTTTAATCTCTCATTGGTACTGGAAACAAACTATTTGCCCTATAAACGAAAAATCCCACTTATGTCGGAGAGCATGAAATCTTTATATTCATGTCAGTATTAAAAAAAAAAAAAAGAAAAAAAAGAAAAAGAAAAGATATAAGACTTCTCCTTAAAACGAGCGATTGCCTATGAGCCACAACCAATCAAGAGCAACACCAGAAAAGATACCTCCCAAAAGGAACACCACAAGGATATTACCCAAAGCATTTTGTTCAGGTCCCTGAAAAATTTTAGACCAAATCACAGTAATTAGCTTAAATTTAATAAAAGCATTAATAAACAAACTTTCAATTACACATACCTTGTAACCTTTAGGAGCTGCAGTGAGCACACAGACAGTGAGATAACCGTTGGTTAACCCCAAGAGGGAAGTGAGCATAATCATCCATCCTTGGTCAGCATATTTTGCTGTGAAGTAGAAAGCCGGGATGAACAAGAAACGAGCGATGATCGAAGTGAAAATTCCCTTCCTCGATTCGAGATTCAGACACTTCACAAGAGGAATGCATCTCCCAACAAGATCCAACAAATTGTACATGGCCATCAAAACGAGTGGATACCTGTCCATAATGCAAATACCATGGTGTAGTCAAAGTTAGCAAATGTTAAGATTTGTTTTATTTTTAACATCTGAGGGACAAAGTATTTTTACCATGTGCCCAATTGGTGATTTCCAGTGTTTTCATACAAGAAACCAGGGAAGATGGACAATGTTATCACATAAATCAAATACAAGCCAAGCGCGTAATCGATGTTCTCGAGGATTAGTTTCTTCTTGCTCATCCTTACAACCTGTTACGTGAGTTTTTAAAGAATTGAGTATCATCACGATTCTAGCATTGTAGAGTGAAAAAGATAGGCTGAAGAAAGTAGTGGCACTACCAGTTGGTCTGATTGTGTCTCAATGCCAACAGCGGCGAGGTCAGATGCCACGGTTTTGGATCCTTCTAAGGCTGCCTTCTTGCGGAAGTGTTTCACTATTGGCAATTTAGGGAAGACAAAGGCGTAGAGAAAGATGCAAATGAACTCGGAGAAGGCAGAGATGGCTAGAAACAATACTGCAAAAAGACGAAAAACAAGTAGCAGCTTAATTCGAAATGACTTCAATCATACAATTATACAAATTGTGACTACCTTGGTGAAAAAAAATTTACGTATGTACTTACAAGTGCCCTTGCGAAGACCATGATCAGTTTTGTCAAAGGCCGCTCTTGTGACTAGCCTCAGACCAGAGGTCAGGACACCTGATCCAGCCAAGCCAGCCATAAAGGACTGAAAAATGATAGAAAAGAGTCTCAAAATTAACCCGTACTAGGATTAGAGATATTAAAAAGGGATTATTGATGCAATCACGCCCTCTTCCCTCCTCAACAATAGCAGATTTTTTATTTTTTTATTTTTATTTTTTAAGAACCTGACGCAATTATATTTAAAGAATATATCAGTTTCACTTCCACCTGGACAAACCCAATGCTTTACAGTCCACTAATGCCTTATAATAAGGCCCCGTTCATTTTACTATTTGAGTTTAAAATTTGAATTTTATTACAGTAAAAAAGCTTTAAAAAACAGTAATATTTAACTTTTTTATTATAATAAAAAACTCTCATTTACATCTCAACTTAAATCAGCGAACTAAACGAACTCTAAAAAACTTGAGCACATTCTAGAAGAGAGAAAAAAAAAAAAA